TTTTTTTAATGTGGACTATGAATATTGAGTCCTGAAAAGCTATGGGTCTTCTTGCAATTTTAGAAACTCATTTTGGAGATAGATCAGAGAATTATTTCAAGTGTATAATTTCCTCAAGTGTAATGAGGCATCCTGACATGCCTTCAAACAGATTCTAGGAAATGTAGAGATTAGTGATTTTTCTCTGATAAATAAGGTAGTGCTATTATTTACAGTGAAGAGATGACCAGAATTTTAATACTGTAGCAAGTAGGTTAGCCAATGTCTTATTTACCTTTGAATTTTCTGAGTTTGTGAGTGTTGCGCTAACATATCTCTAAGAAGAAAACATTTTTTAAGGCAACTCAGAGTATTTTGAGTAAAGTAAATAAATACAATTCTGTTCTTTCCTATTCTGGATAAAGCACTTTGTGAAATGAAATCCAGTTTTAGACTCTAGCATTTCAATTTCTGCTTTTCACTCACTTAATAGAAATGATTATTTATAGAACTAAATATATGTGAATAGAACACTGGAATATATAGACGCACACCTATGTTTTTTCTTCTCCAGATATTGTGTCTTTTTTTTTTTCAACAAAGTGTCCAAGTTTACATGCTAGCATATAAACAGTAAACATGATTATTTGACTGGTTTGAAATAAGTCTCAACCTTTGTTCAGACTAAATTTCTCAATGAGTATGAATTTAGGGGATGGCTGAGGAGGACAATTATTTTATGCACAGAAATCTGGAAAAACACTATCTTCTCAGAAAGAATATTCTTTTGGAAAGTTAGCCCTTGACCTTAATTGTGTAAATGATTTGTTGATATTCAGCATGGTACCTAAGATACTATAAGTCTCTACAATGCCTTCTGAGTCTCTACAAGATATTAAATTGTGCATTACGGAGAAATCTATGCTTTTATTTATAAATTTATAGCCTGGATCTTTTTACATTGTGTGTAGTGCATAACTAAAAGAACACAATTAATAACAAATTGTAAGTAGACTGGTAAGCCCAATAAGAAAGAATGAGTGGGTTTACTTTAAAAGGTAGACAGGTTATAACTTTTAAGATTTATATTTTCCTTTGAGCTTTTTCATAACCCAGGTGAAAGGAGACATAAACACCTGCATGATTTTAATATCTGGGCATCAAATGTTCTTGCACTTCAAAGAATGCAAAATTCTGAAGTGTTTTTTTCAAGAGACATTTTATATATATTACTTTAAGTTATCTAGGTTATCAGTATCTAGGTTATACAGAAAATAGTTTTTGTATAT